GGAGCTGAACGGCTCCTTCTGCGGGCTGGCCCCGCTGACGCACTACCGCGTGCCATTGGCCTTTGATCGTCATGCTCTGAGTCTCGGGGAGGCGACGGTCGTCTGTCCTTCTTGGCGTAACGCATGTCCTCCGAGTCCTCTGAGCTGTCCTGGACCATGAACACGTTTTGATACGGGCTTCTGAAGTACCCGATGTCGTTTAACTGCTCCATCGTGAGGTCGTTAATGTCCATTTGATCACAACCTTGCATGAATACATCCATAGACCAAGCGGGTGGCCCCGCTGTTGCGTCTGGCGTCTCTTCGGCGGGTGCCCCGCTAGAGCTTGGAGTGCTGTCAGCATCTGAGATGCTGACATGTCCGAGTCCAAGTATGGACGTAGACGTGCAACTCCTGGGTGTGACAGCAGTTCGTTCATGGTTATCTGCTGATGTGCTGGCGCACTCAGGAGTCGGATTGCTTCTGAGACCTGCTCTTGGAGCATGTCCTTATAATCTTCTTCGGCTTCTTCGGAGTCGGAATACGCGGGATGGCCCCGCATTTCGTCATCGGCGTCTCCCGCCTCCGAACCAGCCCACGAAGGATTTGGCAGCAACGGCATGCCAATCACTTGCGGGGCCAGCACGGCGGTGAGTTCTTCCTCTGTTGCCGGGGCGGTCTCGGCTTCGGAGACCTCGTCGCCGGCGGGTGGCCCCGCTGGAAGACCGAACCAAGCATTGTACGCGACCTCGTCGACCTCGTCCCAGCCGTGGAACTCGTCGAAGAGGGTCACTGCGTAGTCTTCCAGGGCTACAGTTGCTTCAGCGTAGCGGGCCATCACGTAATACGTGGAGGAGCCCGCGGCGGGAGCCGCTTCTGGATTGACGTAAAACTCGTAGTCAATGTAATCTATGTCATCCATAAAAGAATTTTGAGCCAAATGTACGGATCCCTTTCCTTTCCCCTTCGGGCATTGATCGCGCAAATGCTCTGTGCTACCGCATGTATGACACTTCATAGTATTGCCAGAAGCGTCCCTAGGGTTGCCCCTCCGCCCTTTTCCCTTACCGGAGGTCCGCCTGTGACCCCGACCTTTGCCTCCGATAAGAACTTCTTCAAAAGCCATATCAGTTAAGGACGTGAGGAAAGCAGTAATACCCCTACCATGCATACGGCGTCTGCGACCCCCTTTGCCACGACCCTTTCCAAATCGTTTGAAATGTCGGCGTACTGCACGTCTCACCTTTCTGACTGGTTTCTTCATAAAGCGCCTCCAACGGCGTTTTGATTTGCGATAAGCCATAAAGGCGGCTTCCGCTCTTTGTTGTTCAGAGAGGTGAGTGTCATCCGCTGGGTAGTCATTACCAGCAGAGACTATGCCATTGTGCTCATCGTCAGATGAGGTATCCGTGTCAGTGCCAGATTCAAACGGTGAGGGTGGCTGAGACCCTTGAGCGGATGACTCCGCTTGGCCCCAGAGGGTTGTGCCCGAGGGCGGGCTTGCAGTGTAGGCGGCGCCTGGCGAGTAGTTCGTCCAGGCGTTCGCCTCAGCTGCCTCTGCCGATGCCTGGCCAGTCTGCCCTAAAAGGGCAGTGGCCTCGTTGGGCATATCGGCTGGGTCAGCCCAGGGATTTGGCTCGCCAGGACCAGCGGGTGACCCCGCAGTCGTGGCGTAGACACCTGCATGTGAGTGGTGCCCTGTGAAGATACCCGCTATGTTGCCAGGAGAGCGCTCGGCAACATGTCCGTAGTTCCTCATCCTGGTCAGCAGCCTGTCATAGTCTGCTTGTGTTCGGGGCATCTGATGATTGAAGGGCTCAAGCAGGTGTTGGGCTCGTGACGCGCCAACGCCTAACGCTCTGAAGAGAATCAGCGTTAGGATCTGAAAGTTGGGGATGACAAAGCCAACAGAGTTAGCCTCGTCACGGGCCATCTCGAATCGAGCTAATACTGAGTCGATTCGCTCGCCCCTTTCGACGCGGAAGTCGATAAGGGCAGTGCCAGAGTTGAGCTGGCGCTCATCTTCCAGATTTTCAAATTTGGTGCTCAGTAAGTACAGTATATATGTTACTGCATCCGTTGGCTGTCCATTGACAGTTACACCATAATTGATGATCTGGGAGGGGACCTGCATGGCGATACGACGAGCCAGACCTTGAAGGCCTCGTTGTAGTGCTGCAGCTTGTTGTGGTGGTGTCATATTGCCACTCGTTACGTTTAACCATGCATGTACTTCGCGAACGTATTCGCGAAAAGGCGTAGTACCGGCAGGGTCCCATGAAGGGCCAGTAGTACGCGTGTCGTCCATCCCCTGCCGCATGTATCCCACAGCACATCCCATTATTACCCACAGAATGCCGAATATAGTTATCTTGATCCAATGCATGTGCATTTCGGCTTCGGTGATTGGTTTAGGCTGTGGTTTGTCAGGCTCTGGCGTAGTAGCCGTGAGGCGCCTGACTGGCACGGGATGCAGGTGGCCCCGCTGCGGGTAGCCCCGCAGGGTGACCACGTTCTCGATCGAGTTGCCGATTGGCATCTGGTGGAAGTCGGGAGTGAAGTAGCGCAGTGAAGTAGGAGAGAGCGTCTCGAGTTCGCGGGTTGCCCCGCTAGCTCGATCGCGGACTGGCTCCGCTCCTCGCAGAGCCGGCGCAACATGGTATTCCACCGTAGTAGTAGTCCACCAAGTTGTGCCGTGGATTACAGGAATCAGAGCGAGAGCCAGCCACACGAGAGTGTAGCCAGCTCCGCTACCAAGTCGAAAACAAGCTGGTAAGCTTAGGTATGTGTTACGCTTTAAGCGTTGCCATATCCCAGGCTTTGGCTCATATCGCATGAGCAAGAGAGCGAGACGAAGCATGGGATCTGGAGTAAAGGATAGGATGGGCATCGTCAAAGGAAAAGGTTTTTTCCGATCTCTGATGCAAGTCGTGCGCCTCAGTGAGGCACAGTCATATATCTGGCCGGGCCCGGCTTGAGCCAGGCACGGCAGCGGTACATGCTCGATTTATACCTCGCCTTTAACCTTCTCCGTTTAAAGTGTGCGTAGGTTGGCTCCACCAGTGCGGGGAAGGGGCCGGTCCTGGAAGTTGGGTGCTTTCCAGAGCGGCGTGCGGGGTGCGTATTTTGGTGTTGGGTGGCTGCACAGCGGACCGTGCCCCACCCACGTACTTCCCCCTCACCCACCGCCGCCTGCATCGTTTGCCTTGGCGCGCGGTTTGGGTTGAGACGGTGTGAAGATACGGCGTCCCGCATTGGGCGGGGGAACGAACGAACGAACGAACGAACGAACGAACGAACGAACGCACGCACGCACGCACGCACGCACGCACGCACGCGCGCACGCACGCACGCACGCACGCACGCACACACACACAACACACACACACACACAACACGCACACACACACACACACGCACGCACGCACGCGCGCGCGCACGCACGCACGCACGCGCGCGCGCGCACGCACGCGCGCAGGCACGCACGCACGCACGCACGCACGCACGCACGCGCGCGCGCACGCACGCACGCACGCACGCACGCACGCACGCGCACGCACGCACGCACGCACGCACGCACGCACGCACGCACGACCAAGGCGATTGGACCCCTGCACCCTGGAAGACACGGCAAAGATCTTTAGCCGCGTTTAGCCGGGACGTTGCTCTCGCTTGAGCGCGGTGCACAGATGTTTAACATCATAAGTTCTAGCCGGGTTTAGCCGCGCATGCGTTTCGCTTGGGCGTGGCTTACGAATGGCCAAACATGTCTAAACATCTGCATATGTCAAGAAAAACTGTCGTGTCTAAAGACATCGTGTCTAAACATGGCTATTCGTAGTTGAAGAAATGTTTTGCCGAGGCTCTTTCGTGGCTAATCGTGGCTAGTTCACAACCGCGACCCAGACGGGGGAAACGCTAAACATCGCTGCCCGCACGATCAAGCAAGTTGCCCCACAAAAGACACACCCGCATCGCGCCAGGAGGAGGAAGCGGAGGAGGGGGAAGGAGAAGGAGCAAGAAGAGGAAGAGGGTGCGGGAGGAAATTCGACACGATGGTGTCGAGCATAACGAGTACGACGACGATGGAGAGGAATGCGACGTACACGAAAACCAATGCGACGACGACGACGGCGGCGGCGACGGCGGCGGCGGGGACGACGACGAGGAGAGCGACGACGAGGACGACGACGACGACGACGGCAGAAGGCAACCACCAAGGTAACCGCTTTCGATGGTTCCCTGAGGCCTCAAAATGACTCCAAGATTGCCCAAGAGGTGCCCAGGGAGGCCCCAACACGGCCCCAATAGCGCCCAAGACCGCCCCAACAACGCCCCAATAGGGCGCCAAGAAACAAATGTCGGGCTCCAGAGGGGGAGGGGAATCCGCGACCCTCCCCTCTGATGATCGATGGCCTCCAAGATGGCCCCATGCTCCGAAGAAGGCCCCAACAGGGCCCCAAGAGAGTCCCAATAAGGTCCCAAGAGAACCCCAAGAGGGCCCAAAAGGCTTCCAAACTGGCCTCCCCCCGATGGCCCCAAGAAGCCTCCAACACAATCCCTTAGCGAAAGACTTGCAAAGACCTCGGTGGTTGACTCCTGACGTCGTCGTCGTCGTCGTAGCAGTCGCCGCCGCCGCGTCGGCCGCCGCCGCCAGCGCCGTCGTCGTCGTCTTCGTCGTCGTCTTCGTCATCATTCTTGCTGTTGTTCGTCTATTTCTCTCATTCGTTTTACAATTATTATTATTATTATTATCATTATTCGTCGTAATGTCCTTGTTCGTCCATATATGCCTTTTCCTCTTCCTGATCCTCATTTTTCCCCCCTCATCCGCTTCCTCCTCCTCCTCGTCTCTCCCTCCGTACCTCCTCCTGCTCATCCTCTGGCTGCTCCTCCGTCTTCCTCTTCCTCCTTCCCAAAGTAATGGGTAACCCTCATCTGTGTTACACAACTTAGAACTTCCACACCGTCATTCGCACATATTCGGATTAGAAAACGTGCGTGTTTATTTAAAATTTAAACGCGGCTATAAATTTGGCATGCAATCCGCTCGTTGGTGCCCGTGGCTAAACATGGCTATACGTGGCTAAATATGGCTAAACGTGGCTAAAAGTCATGCCGTGGCTATTTTGTGGGTATTCGTGGCTAAACATGTTTAATTCCGTGGCTCAAAATGATGAAACATGTCTAAAACGCTTAAAATATACACCGTGCCCATCATAACGCCAACGAAACATTGAAACACATATATGATGCGCGGGACATGGAAATAGACACGACCAGACACTTGAAAATCGTTTTGACAGTTCCACACCAGCGCGGCCCAATAATAGCCAAGAAGCTTTGTCTTCCAGGGCAGGTCTGGACCCCCGGTCCGGACCCCCGATCATCCGAACCCTCCCCGGTCCGGACCCCAGGTCTGGACCCCCTAGCTGGTCGGGACACCCGGGTCGGTCAGGACCTCTCGGGCAGGCGCGGGCCGACGACGACGGCGACGTGCGAGGACGGCGGCGGCTGGGCGGCGGCGGCTAGGCGGTGGAAGCGAGGCAGCGGCCTCATTTAGATATCCGACGATCTGTATTTTTGCCCGCGACGGCTCATCCGAGCGCGACGGCCCCAGGGCTCGAAAACAACCTCCTCTCCAGAGGCCGAAATCGCGCCGTCGGGGAAGGCGCCGTCGGCGCTCAAGCCGTCGGGACGCCGCCTTCATCGTCGCCGCTGCCTTCGCTCCTCCCTCTCCCCCTCTCGCTCCCCCTCTCCATTCCCTTCCTCCTCTTCCTCCTCTTCCTCCCCCTCCTCCCCCCACTCCTGCTCGTGTTTTGTGCGCGGTTCAATCCGCGGCCGCAACACGCAACAATACTCGTTGGCGCGCCAACTTTTCGAACGCCCGAACGGGGCCGCCCGAAACCGTACCGTCCCGAGGAAAACCGAACCGGCTAACAAACCGGACTGGTGCCGAAACCAAACTGAACCGGCGCAACCGAACCGGCCCGCCGCCGAACCGGCGGACCCTTGCTGAGTATGGCTGGCAAGAACTTGCCAATCCTGGAGAACCCGCGCCCAGTGCAAGTGAAACAAATGTTGCGCGGACGAGCTCCGTATCGCATCGAATCCTACCCCTGGGCCTGTCTAAGCAACGCACTGCTGCTTAGCTCTTTGGCGCTCTAAGTGGGCGCAGCCCTTCATGGAGGAGCACGAAGAGAAGAAGATGAGACGAGGGGGAGATAAGGGAAAGACGCGGGGAGAGGTGTAATAGTAATTGCAGCAGTTGGCGCCTGGATCAAATAGTTTGCGCACTGGATTTTAAACTTGCGCGTGGGTGAAAATGCATAATTGAGTTTTTTTTCGCACGTGCAATAAGATGTTGCCCGCTCGCAACTCTCGCGTGCTATTGCATGGAGCGGGCTGAGGCTGAGCTCGGGTGGGCGCCCTCCGGCTCTCCTCCCCTCCCTCCATCCCTCCCGCCACTCCCTGGTGCCCCCTTGGGCAGGCGCCCCTGGCTCAGACAAACAAGCCGCCCCGGCTGCCCCAGGCCGCCCGCAGCGCCGCCTTTCCGTCCCTGCCGATGCTGTTGTCGTGCAGGTGCAGCCGCTGCAGGCCGGGCAGGGAGGGCAGCGCCCCCTCCAGGGCCCGCGCGCCCTCGGCGCCGATGCTGTTGTCGTGCAGGCCCAGCTCCTGCAGGCCGGGCAGGGAGGGCAGCGCCCCCGCCAGGGCCCGCGCGCCCTCGAGATCGTCGGGAAATCGTAATCGCATCGCCTGGGACTGGATCGCTGCGAACCGCAGGCGAATCGAACCGGGAACCGGATCGCGACCTCGCCGAATCGAATCGCGGACCGGATCGCGACCCTGTCGCGCGACTGGATCGCGGTCCCCGGACCCCCCCGGCGTGAGCACTCTCCTTCGTGGCTGTCCTCCCTCCATCCCTCCTCCCCCATCTCTCCCTCCCCCTCCCTCCTCCTCCTCCCGTCGCGCTTGCGCGGGCCCAGGGGATCCTCCCGGGCCACCCTCCCAGGCCCCCCCCCGCCCTCGGGGACCCTCCCGGGCCCACCCTCGGGGACCCTCCCAGGCCCTCCTGGGGGACCCTCCCGGGCCATCCTCCCGGGCCCCCCCCCGTCGGGGACCCTCCCGGGCCACCCTCCCCGGGTCGTGGTCGCCCAGGCCCTCCCGGGCCCACCCTCGGGGACCCTCCCGGGCCCGCCCTCGGGGACCCTCCCGGGCTCCACCCTCGGGGACCCTCCCGGGCCCACCTTCCCGGGCCACCATCCCGGGCCACCCTCCCGGGCCCGCCCTCCCGGGCCCGCCCTCCCAGGCCCGCCCTCCCGGGCCCGCCTTCGGGGACCCTCCCGGGCCCGCCCTCCCGGGCCCGCCCTCCCGGGCCACCCTCCCGGGCCACCCTCCCGGGCCACCCTCCCGGGCCACCCTCCCGGGCCCCCCTGGGGGACCCTCCTCCCCCTCGTCGACGTCGTCGTCGTCGTCGTCGGCGGCGGCCCTTGGAGGAGAGGGAGGCGGATCCGGCCGTGGCCACTGGGCGGGGGCACCGGACGCCCCGAAAGCCCAAAACAGCCGAAAAGCCGGAGGCCGAACCTCGAACCTGGAACCTCGGTCCTCCTCCCTCGACGGCGGCGGCGACGACGACGGCGGCGGCGGCGGCGGCGACGAGGGCCCCCAGTCCGGCTCCGGACCCCCCGGTCCGGACAGCTCGCTGTCCACCTCCTCCCCTTCCACCTCTTTTTCTTTAGCCTGGCGGCCTCTCGCGCAGCAAGCGGGCGTCGGGTCAGCCGGATCCAAATCGAATCGCGAACCAGATCGCTGCTTTGCACCGGATCGCAATCGAATCGCTCGGCAACCGAATCGAATCGCGAACCGGATCGTGGCAGGGGGCCTCCAGCATCGAATCGTCATTCGCGGCGATGCGATTCGCCGAATCGAACCGACCCGGATCGAATCTCGTGCGGACCTCTGTTGCCGCCCAGGCCCAGCTCCTGCAGGCCGGGCAGGGAGGGCAGCGCCCCCGCCAGGGCCCGCGCGCCCTCGGCGCCGATGCTGTTGTCGTGCAGGCACAGCCGCTGCAGGCCAGGCAGGGAGGGCAGCGCCCCCGCCAGGGCCCGCGCGCCCTCGGCGTCGATGCTGTTGTCGTGCAGGGTCAGCTCCTGCAGGCCGGGCAGGGAGGCCAGCGCCCCCGCCAGGGCCCGCGCGCCCTCGGCGCCGATGCTGTTGCCGGCTAGGTACAGCCGCTGCAGGCCGGGCAGGGAGGGCAGCGCTCCCGCCAGGGCCCTCGCGCCCTCGGCGCCGATGCTGTTGCCGCTCAGGTACAGCCCCTGCAGGCCGGGCAGGGAGGGCAGCCAGCGCCCCCGCCAGGGCCCGCGCGCCCTCGGCGCCGATGCTGTTGTTGCGCAGGGTCAGCCGCTGCAGGCCGGGCAGGGAGGGCAGCGCCACCGCCAAGGCCCGCGCGCCCTCGGCGCCGATGCTGTTGCCGGCTAGGTCCAGCCCCTGCAGGCCGGGCAGGGAGGGCAGCGCCCCCGCCAGGGCCCGCGCGCCCTCGGCGCCGATGCTGTTGTCGTCCAGGTACAGCACCTGCAGGCCGGGCAGGGAGGGCAGCGCCCCCGCCAGGGCCCGCGCGCCCTCGGCGCCGATGCTGTTGCCGCCCAGGTACAGCACCTGCAGGCCAGGCAGGGAGGGCAGCGCCCCTGCCAGGGCCCGCGCGCCCTCGGCGCCGATCTGGCATGCTGACAGGCGCAGCACCTGCAGGCGGGCGCACAGCCGCAAGCAGCTTGCGAGCCCCGCGGCCTGCTCGGGGGTCGGGCGTCGCATCCCTTCGAAGTCCAGCGTCGTCACGCCGCCCAACTGCGCGCGGCTCATCCGGCGGAAGAGCGCCTTCACCGCCTCCCGGTCCGCGCCGTTGGTGAAGGACCTGTCTTCGATGAGCCGGTCGAACTCGTCCGGGCCCACCGGCCACCTCCTCCCGGCCGCCGCCGCGTACGTCCCCTGCCCCAGGTCGGCCACGGCGGCCCACTCTGCCTCCGAGCGGTAGACCTGCTTGATCTGCTCCGCGGAGCAGCGCTCGTACGTCGTCCAGCCGGACTGGTCGTAGCCCCACTCGCGCGCGCTGCCCCGCTCGCGGGGGTGCTGGGTGAGCAGGAGCACGGTGGTGGCCCGGTGGGCGTACCAGAGGTCCATTGTCTCCTCCAGCCCGTGCTTGAAGGCGGCTTTCTCGGCGGGAGTCCGCTTGGCCTTGTCCGCGGCCTCCTGCGCGTCCTTCTTGGTCTTGCCCTGCCGCAGGGCGGCGGCCCTCGCCTCCTCGGCCTTGATCGGGTCGCCCTGCAGCAGCGAGGGCCAGTCCCAGAATATTCCCATCTCGCTGAACCCCTTGAAGTCACCTTTGGCTGTGGAGTACTTGCGGCGCTCTGCCTCCAGGGTGTCAATCACCAAACTCAGCTGCACTCCATTGGGGTCGGGATGCTCGCGTGCGTCCCAGCAGAATGAGATGGTGATGATCGGCGCCACCCCGTCCAAGCCTCCTCGCCCGCCGGCCTTCCAGACGGCCCGCAACTCGTCCGCGGACACGAACGCCTCCTCCGGCAGCTCCTGGCGCCTATTCAGGACCGTGCCGCGCTGCTGCAGCAGCCACGACATGCGGACCAAGCGCACGGGGTGGAGGCCCTCTACGGTGAACGCGAGCGCGTGGAAGAGGCTCGCGGCGTTCGTATACCGCCACAGGTCGAACGTCTCCTGCTCCTCCTTCTTGGGGACCTCCTGCTGGTGCTGCTGGTCGACGGGCGCCGCCAGAGATTCGGGCAAGGCGTCGCTCTCCTGCGGGTCCTCGGGCACGGGCACCTCCGCGACGTCTGGCATGTGCGGGGGCGGCCCGCCGGCCTGCTGGTCCTTGGGCGCGACGGCCTGGCGGGAGGCCATGCAGCAGCCCATCGTGTCGGCGCGGGGGGCTGGTTTACAGAGGCAAGAGGGGCGCTCGCGCCTGCTTCAAGACCTGCGTCCAGTCGTGGAAGCTTAAGCCAAAATAAATGGCTACTGACGGGTGCTAGCATGCGTCTTGGTAAGAGACCTCGTGGGAGTCCTCGTGGGAGCCTGGAACTCTCTCTCTCTCTCTCGCTCTCTCTCTCTCTCTCTGTCTCGCTGCCTTTGTCTTACTGAACATGATCGACCCACGAACCCGGCAAGGAATGTAGAAATGTAAGGCATGGCAACGCTTCAAAAAACACCTGATTGGGCGACGGGCAAATGCAATGCTGAATGTATCGATCTTGAGGTACCGTGCCGAGGGCTGTGCTGTGCTGCGCCGTGCTGAGTTGCGATGTGCCATGCCGCGATTGTGCACTACAATGCGGGCGCGGCCGCAAGAAACCCTCGCAAGAAACCCAACCCTGAGAAGCCGTGCGCGAGGTGCACCTGAGGGGAAACCTGGAGCACCCTGAACGCAGCAGCTCTTTCAACGGCCGCGGGAAGTCAACGCGCAGCGCGCGGAGCAAAGAAACCAAGGATACCCTGACGAAAAGTAGATGGTTTCTTTATGCGCGCCCCCATTGTATAGCGTTGTGTATCGAGTCCTCATTTGCATCCGAGTCCTGACCGAACTGATCTGGATCTTAAGCTCGAGCTGCCTGAGCACAAAGTAGCTGCCCCAGAGCTAATTGACAGGTGGACGTGCCAGGAGGACGCGACGCGGAACGTCCCAAGGGACGCGCCAGGCGACGTGCCAGGGGACGCGCCATGGGGACGCACCGCGGGACGTGCCAAGGGGACACGCTACGGAACGTGCCAATGGATGTGCCGCGGGATGGACGCGCCGCGCGACGTGCCAGGGGGACTCGCCACGGGGACGCGCCGCGCGACGTGCCACGGGGCATTGCAACCTGGCGCGTCCCTTGATCAGAAAGGAAGCGCCAGGTTGCAATGCTGAATGTATCGATCTCGATGTACCGTGCCGAAGGCTGTACTGTGCATGGGCGACCAGGACACGTGAAAATAAGCGTTTCGCTCAAGACATTCTCGTCACATCCTCATGCTAAACATCCGCCTGGGCAAACCTGGACACGTGCAAACAAGCGTCTCGCTCGAGACAGCCTCAACAAATCCTCATGCTAGACATCTGCCTGGGCAACCTGGACGCGTGAAACCAAGCGTCTCGCTCGAGACATCCTCAAGACCTGGGCACGTGAAAACAAGCATTTCACTTGAGAGATCCTCTGAATTCTAGTCCCGAGGAGACGGAGAATCTAGAACACAAAACAAGCGTTTCGCTCGAGACATCCTCAACAACATTCTGCAACACAAGCGTTTCGCTCGGGACATCCTCACATTTAAATTAGCCGGCCCTCTTCGACCTTGTTGTTTATCGCAAAATCACTCGTTGGCCCTATTCGAACTTCGCACCGGGGGACATATTGACTTACAAAAAGAAAACCCTGGGCTCGTGCCCTTTCCGGCAACAATGCGACACACACTCTGCCTCCAAATTCGGAGCATGCGCAGGAAAACCAAACGCGCCCTCCCCCACCATCCCTCTCAAAAAGCTATGCAAAGTACACGTTGGAGCAAAGTCTGGAGTCATGTTTGTGAGGCCCGCGGGCACTTTGTATTGTTTTTCGAAGGGGACGTCGGGGGTGTCAGCATATTCCCTGCTGAGCGCAGGGCTACCATCCCTGACGAAAAACCATACAAAATGCACCTCGCGGCTATGTCTGGATCATGCGCGGCCACCCCGCGATCGCCGCCAAGTAGTTTTCGACAGGGACGCCGGGGGTGGTGGCGCATGGCCTGCTGTGCGCAGGCCCACCAGACACAATGATGGGCTCTGGTTTTCGACAAACGCCACGGGATGTGCCACGGGGACTCGCCAAGGGACGCCCCACGGAACGTGCCAGGTTGCAATGCTGAGTGTATCGATCTTGATGTATCGTGCCGAGGGCTGTGCTGTGCTGCGCCGTGCTGAACTGCGATGTGCCATGCCGCGATTGTGCTCTATTGCGTTGTGGATCGAGTCCTCCTTTGCGTCCGAGTCCTGACCGAACTCATCTGGACTTTAAGCTCGAGCTGCCTGAGCACATAACTAGTAGCTGCCCCAAAGCTTGACATGGGGACATGCCAGGAGGACGCGCCGCGGAACGTCTCAAGGGACGCGCCAAGCGACGTGCCAGCGGAACCATGGGGACGCACCGCAGGACGTGCCAAGGGGACGCGCTACGGAACGTGCTGGGGACAAGCGTTTCGCTCGAGACATCCTGTCAAAATCCTCATGCTAGACATCCGCCTCAGCGACCTGGACACGTGAAAACAAGCGTTTCGCTCAACACATCCTCAACACATTCTCATGCTAGACATCTGCCTGGGCGGACTGGACACGTGACAACAAATGGTTCGCTCGAGACATACTCAACACATCTTCATGCGAAACGTCCGCCTGGGTGACCTGGGCACGTGAAGACAAGCGTTTCGCTCGAGACGTTTTCAGCACATCCTCGTTCTAGACACCCGCCTGGGCGACCTGTACACGTGGAAGCAAACGTCTCGCTCGAGACATTCTCAACACTGGTCCGAAGAGGAAGATGAAGAGGAGGAGGTTGATAGGCGCAAGAGCTGACCTGCAAACCCGCGACGTCCAACTCTGCCGCGGGTGAAGCATGGGTACCCAGCTCGCTCACCTATGCCCCGTGGAGCTGGATCAACTGCACACGCACGCGAAACATACATGCTCTCCGTGGCTCGGCTCCATAACGCATAATACTCCGAAAGCGCAGGGGACAACTTCTCAGCAACATGCGGCGCAACAGCTGCTCTTTCAGGAATGCAGGGGCCTCGGCCTTACCTTCATCACGGCACTGTTCCAACAACACCTCCCACGGTAGATCAGGTCCTTCGCATTCTGGGAAAGGAGCTGGCTTACGACGTTTCCAGAGAGTCTGCTCCACCACCTCGTGATCTATATCCACACTCAGGCACGCATGCGTTTTGAAAGGCGAGGTGGAATACTTGCCAACCTTCAAAAACCAAGCAATATCATCAGAGGCCACCACATAATCAATAAGGGTTCCCCTCCCCTGCGAACGCGTAAATTCAACCCCTACAGGTGCTGCAGCACGAGCACGTACCAATCGAGTCAATCCCGACATCTCCAAATCTTGGGTAGGGAAATTCCAATCTCACATCAACACCCAATGGACCGCCAGTGTACCCGCGAACTCCATGATCTCCTGAAGCCTCGGAACATGCTCGCCGCAGACGCCCAAGTCCGAAACCATATATACGATTCCAATCGCAATGCTGGACTGCTTAGTCCGAAGCTCCAGGGGCATCCAACAAGTGCCTTGGCCCAGGCCCTTCACAGACCCAGCGCCAGCCAGAAACCTACGAAAACTAAATCCCCGAGGGACCACGGCTCCGACCCCTCCATGGGTGCCCCCTCCAGGGGTGGGGATGGCGGCCTGAAAGTGAGGCCGCAACTTCATCTGATTACATTTCCTTCTTGCAAGCTTCGCCTTCGCCTCCGCAAGGTGATGCTCGCAGAAGAAAACCCATCGCAAGTTTGCTTCACGTCGTGTGCAAAAGACAGGGCCACACCATTTCAATACGTGACGTTACACAAAAGCAACTGCACTGTGCAACGAGGCGACCCGCTCACATGCCTCCACGCCCTGCTAGGAGCTGGGCCCCCGCGAGGCGGAAGACGCCGCAGTGCCCGCTCCTCCTCCAGCAGCTCCTCCTGCATCACGTGCGACAGGACCTCGTTCTTGCACCAGCTCGAGCACGCGGGCAAAACTCGCAGCGCCTTCCTCTCGCACTGTGCGGAGTCGCTTCGTGGCCTTCTGAGCTGCCTGCTTAACCAGGATGGTCTCCATTCGATTCCGCTCGGGCTCGGTGAGTGCCTGCTCCAGTGACCGCTTGCGAAGCTGATCCAATTCATCGCGATGATGGTCACCAAACTCAGACTCGCCCACCTCCGAGATGTCGTCCATGGGGGCCGCGATGCTCTGCTCCATCTGCTTGGCGCCCTCGCAGTGCTCAAACATGCGGCCGTGCTTCTGGCGCCGGTCGCGCAGGTCATCGAGGGGCATCTGCAGCAGGCCGGGAGGGGCGATGGGCGGCAGCCGCTGCGCATGCGCCCTCATGAACCCCGCGGCCCACCTAAGCTCCGTCTCCTCCGCCATGCCGGCGCGCGCCGCCGCCTGCGCCCGCGGCGGGGGCAGCGGCGGGGGCGCACGGCTCGGCGAAACCGTTCTGCGGCTCGCGCTCGGCAGCCGCAGCAGCCTGGCGCTGCCGCTCGACCTCAGTGCGCTTCATCCTGGAACTGGCCGGTGTTGAAGCGGTTCTTCTTCGCGTCAGCCTCTCGTACGGCCTGGTGCGCCGACTCCAGGTTGCGCTCCGCCTCAACGTGGTACTGCTGCATCTCCTCCAACGTAGCCTTGGCGTTGTTATACCGCTCCAATCGCCACTGAACCTCCTGGGCGGCGAGACGTTCCTGCTTGGTGGCCAGCTCGACCTCCTTCGCCAGGGCCGTCTGCTCCAGGGCTGCCATGCGATCCAGGTCGCAATCGGTGTCTTCGCAATGGGCGCCAGAGCAGGGTAGTGCACCGCCCACTTCTCCAGCTCACGCAGGGAAGATGAGGAGGCATAGATGCAGCGCCTGCTTGGGCAGACTCGCGTGGTTCACCACATTCATCAAGAGAATCACCGCCCAGACACGCGCAGCCGCACTTGCTGCAGCACTCGTTCCCGTAGCGCACGTACTCCCAGTGCTGGCATGCGCTGCGCACTGCGTACTCATCTCCCTTCTTGCCGCCGCGCTTCTTCTTGCTTGGCGGCGAACCGTCATCAGGTTGCCACGCCCATGCGCCACTCTGGGCGCCAGGCTGCCGGCGCCGCCCGCCTCGCCGTGGGGCGCGGTTGCGCCGGGACATACTGGGCGCCAATGGTGCAGCGGTTGTGAAAAGGAAGCTGTCGGGCAGAATCACCCTGGCACTGGCAGCGGACTAGCGGTATCCACGTGTCCCCCTGTGGAACAAAGCATCTTGAG